TAGTTGCCCGAGCTGGTCATGAAAGTGGTGCAATGCTTGTCGTTTATTGCCATTGGAATTTGGTTATAGCCTGAATAGGCATCCATAAACGACAGTATTTTATAACCGACCGAGTTGTCGACCAACATATCTATGTTAGGTAAAGGAAATGCATCCTTTGGGAAAGCCCGGTTAAGATCAGTATAATCAATGCACATTCGCCACTTTCCATTATTTTTCTTGACAAGTACAACATTTGACAGCCAGGTTGAATACCGGGCTTCAGAAATAAAATTTGCCTCTAGGAGGTCTTTTACAGCTTTTTCAGCAGCCTCTGTTTTCTCCGGAGACTACCTACGTCTATGTTGTACTACTGCCCTAGCGGCAGGGTCTATGGCGAGACGGTGACAGGAGACCTCGGGGTCGAGTCCGGGCATTTCCACAACGCTCCACGCGAACATGTCTGTATTCTCGCACAAACAAGCTTTGATTTGCTTCCTTGCTAAGTCGGGGAGTCCCATGCCGATCTTCACTTCTCTAGTTGGGTCCTCGCCGAGGGGGACGAGTTCGAAGTCCCCGTTTGGAATTGGTCGGAGGGGGATTTGCTCGCCGCTAGGAGGCTCATCCTGGTCAAAGTGGGTGTCCAGGGATATTGAGTCGACCTCTGGAGGGGTTCTCTGCTCTTCTGCCTTGACGGGCTCTGTCCTATGGGGCTCTGGTCGTGTTGTCGCAGCTCTCTTGGAGGGCCTTGTGCTGGTGTCCACCGTATTGCGTCCCTTGGAAGCCGCGTTAAAACACCTTCGGGCAACTGCTAGGTCCCCTTGGATGGTGGCGACCCGTGCCCTCTTGGTATAAAACTTCATTTTTAGATGAACAATAGAGGGTACTGCGGTCAGCTCCGCCAATGTCGGCCTTCCCAGAATGCAGTTGTAGAGGGACGAGCAATCAATGACGAGGAAGCACACCTTGACTTGACTCGTTGCCGTATCCTTGCCGAACGTGACCATGAGATCAACGTATCCCCAAGGCTTGGAAGTTGAGCCGTTAAAGCCCTGCAGGTCTGACCCCACGTAAGGTGAGAGGTGAGAGTCGTCGAGCTGCAGGGTTCGGAACAGTTGGCTGTACATTACATCGACGGAACTTCCTTCATCGACGAGGACGCGGTGTACGTCAAAGTTGGCCATCCTCGCTCTTATCAGTAGAGGAATGACCGAATTGGGGGCCCCTCTGGGGAGCTCTTCAAGATAAAAGGTGATAGGTTCTGACCTACCCTTCACCTTTTCAAAAGTCATCGTTTGAGGGGGGGCCGTGTCGACCAACTCGTCCAGCTTCCTCTTGGCCGAATTTATGGTCAGGTCATTGAAACCTCCACCGTTGATGACCATGGCAGAGGGAAAGTGCTCCCACCTGTTGTGCATGGACAGTGGTTCTTGCATGTGGTCGGGGACGTAGAAGTCCTCGGGTCTTGTGACGGAGAAGGCTATTTGGATGGGGACCGACTCATTAGATGGCCGGGCATCCTCTTCTGCTTCTCTTGTCTCACGGGCGTCGTGACGAAGAGCATCGTTTCGCTGATACTGGGCGAGTCTCCCCCCTTTTATGAGGGTCTCGATGGTGTCCTTGAGTTGGACGCAGTCTTCAGTCAGATGGCCGTGGCTCCTGTGGTACTGACAGTATTTGCTCCTGTCCACCCCGGGTTTGGCAGGAGCTGGTCGGGGACGTTTGACACCACCATCTTTGAAGTTCGTACTTCCGCACTCCGCTAAGATGCGATCGCGGGAAGCCGTGAGCAGAGTGTACTCTGTGAAACACCCCGAAGGCCCCCTCTGCTCTCGGATGTCCTGGGGTTTGTCATCTTTTCTTTTTTCCCCGATTCATCGAGGAGGGATAGCCTCTTGGCGCGGGTTGCTGCTGGATCCGCGATTCCTGTGGTCTCGGGATCTGTTGGCCGCTTCCCTCTCCTAGTAGTCCATGTAGGCCATGGCCTTCTCGAGGAGATCATCAAACGTTCAGGGTGGTTCGATGCCCATGGCTTTCCTGAATTCTATGCCAGGGAGAAGGCCCCTCCCCAGTAGGTATCTTTTCATATGGTCCGTTCAAGGGACCTGGATGGCTTCTCAGTTAAAGCGGTTGATGAACTCTCTCAAGGTCTCATCCTGCCTCTGGATGATAGCCTCGAGCGCCGCTTCGGTCTTCGGATGTCGTCGAGACGCAGTGAATGAGCTTATGAACTGGTTCTTCAAGTTTCACCACGAGGTAATTGACCCCAGGGCGAGACCCTTGTACCAGTCCATAGCTGCTTTCCTCAGGGTCGTGGGGAACAACCAGAATTTGACTGGTCCCCCGACATTGTGGTAGTGCAGCATGGCCTCGAACCCGTCTATGTGATCGACCGGGTCGGCGACTCCGTCATACTCTTTCAGGTGTAGAGGCTTCTCCATGCCGGGGGAAATGGGCGCCTCCATGATAGCTTGTGCTAGGGGACCGCGGGGGTCGTCCTCATCACTTTGTTCCGGGGAGCGGGACGGGGACCTGATGTATTGTCGGTCACGATGACTCTGGTCGTGCTGGACGTTCCTCGAGCGATGTGTCCGTTGATAGGTTCCTTCGTGTCTGTCTCCGGGAGGTCTTCAGTCTTGCCGTGAAGGGTCGTGGTCGCGCCTTCCGGTCTCGAAGAGTGGTTCTCTCTCCAAGGCGGGTCGCCGCCCGGGTGGTCGGGGTAACGGGCTTCGGGAGATATCCCAGTCCTGTCTCTGCGGGGGAGATCGGCGACGTTCCTCCATCCTTCGAGGAGGTGGGGATTGTGGTCTCCTGTGTCTCCTCGGGGGCCTTCTGTCGTCCTCTAGTGCTCTCAGTATTTCCCCTTGGGCAAAGATGAGGTAGTTGGTCTGGTTGATTGCCGCGAACAGTGCCCTGGTCGCTGCGTCTGCACCGGCGGGGACATGGACTTCATGGAATTGGGCGGCTAGATAGTTCGGGGAAACTGGATTATCCTCTTTGAACCGAGGGGGGGACTGATGAAGATGAAGCCGTGGCTCCGTCCTGCTAGTTAGAGGGCCCGAGGACAGTGCCCCTGGGGAGTATGCTATGGCCGGAGATGCCGGTGGTGTCGGGGCCGCCATTTTTATCGGCGAGGTTGTTGTTAGCTTCAACGATGCATATGTTCTGGTTGTCCTGAATCTGGTCAGCCATGACAGTCGAGGATGGTTTTAGCTTTGGTCTTTGTAAGTTTGTAAGACGGGGAAGCTTAGGTTCCCACAGACGGCGCCACTGATCGTACCTGATCAGAATTAGACCGTCACAGCTGGTTCGAACTGAATTTGAAGGAGATAGGGGGGGGGGGGGGGTACCTACAAGACACTCCGATGATAAAGTGAGAAACGGAATGAGCAGGCGAATTGTATGTAGGTGTGAATGAATGAATACCTGACCCTATTGAAATAAAGGGTATTTATAGCCTGCAGTGCTGGGCCAAGGTCCCTTTACTGGGCTGATCAAACAGGCTCAATAACGGGACTGCCAGGTTCTACGTGGAGTAGTGGGAGCCTGCACGTGGCCCCCCTACCTGGATGATGCTCTCTGTAGAAATAGGGAGGTGAAGACACGGTCTTCTTGGGACCCTGAGGACTCCGAGATATTCGGAGGTCGAGTCTGCCCTACGAGGAGTGTGGTCGAGCAAGACATGGATTGAGACGTTCCTCGTCTGGGACGTCCCTTGTCGGGGACTCTCTTCACGGTCACCAGCGGACACAATTGTGTTCGACGACACCCATGATCGAGGCGTGTCGGGGATTCTAACACTCATCATGGTATGTTGTAAAGCTTGGATTGGACCTCGCTGATAATTGGACCACAGACAGACCCAATCCAGAACACTATCCATTGTTATTCCTACTTTTTTTTTATAAGCACTTCGTAATCTTTTTAACATATTTTATATAAAAGGTCAATAAATTTCGTAGATATAGCCTATATTTTATGTTAAATAAATTTAATATAATTATTTTATTATAAATTAAAAAGTTAAAACAAATGAGTAATTGTAGTTTTATTCAATAATTTTGAATATTAATTCTTTTTTTTTGGTGATGTTTTAAGTTTTTAAAAATGATAAATTTGTGTTTTTCATAAAAAAATTATATATTCATCAATCATAATTGTCTCATATTTTCTTTACTAAAAAATATGATTTCAATTTACATATTTTTAATACTAAACTAAAATATATTATAGATATTAAGTTATCTTTGCTCATAAACTAAAAATTTTCAATTATATTAAACTATAAAAATATCTTTAAAATTTATAAATACATAAGATAACAATTAAACACATAAAAGTTGAAAATATATAGATTATACACGTGCACTTTTCAAAAATCTTAATAGTTAATAAAAAATTATCAATCATATTTTATATTAAAAAATTGATAATAAAATTATAAGTTAAAATATTTTTTCAATTATAAAAAAAGTACTAAGTACATATTTTTGGTTGAATTGAACTTGTAATAGTATCTTTTTAAAGATAATTTTCCTTTTTGTTTTTTTACATAATTACCACTCTTTATTATATTATATAAAAAACATTATAACATTATTAAAATTGAAACAAAATATACAATTAATTTGCATTAATTACAATTCTAAATTGTAATTTTATAATTAGCTACAATCAAACAATCTTAAATTTCAAAATTGAGTACATATACTTCTATTTTAAATATATAAAAAAAATCTAATGTTGAATCTAAAACAGGAAAATAATATGTGTTTATGTAGTATATAATCATTTAAATAAAAAAAGATTTTTTTTTATAATAATACAAATAATGTCTAAAAAATAGCAAAAGTTTAAACAAAATAATAATTAACAATATAAAAATAATTGAAATTGTAAAATACAATTCGACAGTTATATAAATATTGAATATAAAATAATAATGATATTATTTTTTTATGTGAAATTAATTTAACAGTTTATAAATATTAAATATAATCCTATAAATAACTATAGAGTTAATGGGGTATTTTTATAAGTCCCAAGTCAATTCATCGGTAAGTTGATTTTGAAGTAATTTTGGTTAATGCACAATTTAATCATTATTATGTTAGTTTTGGAAAAATTCATATAATATTTAATATATTTTTAAACTATTTTAATAGATCAGTTTTTAATATCTTAAAATATAAAAAATAGTATTAAATAAAAATAATTATTAGGTGTTTTAAAAGATGCATTGATTATAAAATTACACAAATTATTAATGATTTAAATTATAAAATATAATAATTAACCTAATAATTTAATATAATCCGAACAAAAGCTTTTGAAAGTTCTGCATTATATTAATCATAGGTTAAACTCTAAAACAATAAAAATTCCATTATTTTGTCTGTTGAGATTGACTTCTGACTTCCCGATTTATATTTCTGACAATAGTAAACAAATTAGAAATAATTACTCACACATCTTATTTACAACAAAATTTCATTACAATAATCAACTTTTCAAAATATCATCTCAAAATTCCTAATTCACTAAAATCATTTTTAAAAAATTGTCTTTTGGAGCAAAAAAATAATATTTAAAATAAGAAAATAAAAACATTCTGAGTCTAAAAATATCAAAATGCAAAAATAAATTTGGACTGATTTATTAATTTTTTTAAAGAAGAATAAATTTGGAAATTCTTTACAAAATATTAGTATTAAAAAATTTTCAAATTTGTCTGCCACGAGATCATTTTTAAATAGATAAATTATTAAAAAAAATATATAAATCAACATTGTAAATTAATTTATATTTATAATCAATCAATAATATATATTTCGTCAAAAACTCTTTTATATATATTAATAATTTTTAATTATATAATAATATAAAATTATTTTAAATCGTCAACGCATTATCTTTTATCTCATAAAGAATAAAATAAATAAATATAAAATTATAATAACATAGTAGAGTATAAAATAAATTTAGTTATAGAAACTAAAATGATATTTATGGCATATTATAAATCAAAAATAGTTAAAATAATGATATTTAAATAGTATAACTTTATTATTCAAATTTAAGTTTTGTAAATATGTTTCTTTTAAAGTATTAGGTTGGAATCCTATTAACTATAATTTATTTTCTTAAAAAAAGAAAAACTTTAATGTTCAAATTTTTTTTGGGTATAATTTAATGTTCAATTTTTAACGGTGTTATTTTTTTGATTGAGTAATATAACTCAACTTATATTTATTAACTGTGATTAATAAATGCAAACAAATGAGTCATAATTCAAATTCAAATAAGTGTCCAATCTTTTATTTAGCATTTATTGTTAATATTTTTTTATAAAAAACATTTTCGGAAGGTAAATATAGCAACAATTGTTGATAAAATTGTTTTCAGTAGCGACTATTTTGGAACAACAACAACAACATAGAAAACAGAGTAAGCTCTCATAAATTATATCTTCTGTTCTGTTTAACAATGTTACTATTAATTCTAGTCACTAGCTGATATCAAAACGCACTCCACCTGTTTGATCAAATGCGCCACTCATGTTTTCTTTATTTGCTGACTCCACTCTTCATCCATTTATAGTTTCTTCATGGATCTTCAGAATTTCCTTATTCGTGCTCGAGTATTCAAGCTTTACAGACAAGCTTTGAGAGTTGCCGGTCGAGCACCCCCTCCTGCTAGAGGTAAACTTTCTCATTTTATTCCAATCATGATTCTTGACTGCTTGTTAAGTTACTTTCCTGTGCAGGTGAACTGAGACAAATGATTAGACAAGAGATGGAGAATAATCGAAACTGCAATGACAAGCAAAGGATCCGTTACTTGATTAGTGAAGGCTTGGAAAAATTGAAACGCCTCGATGAAATGCTTGATATGCAAGGTCATTAGGTTATCACTCAATGTGTATGTTTCCCTTTGTAACGACATAAAATGATTTTTATTCATGTTCTTTTTGTTAGTTTTTTAGTTCATGTTAACTATTAATGATTTATGAGTTGAAAATATGAACCAAGAAGTATATGAAACATTGATTCCTCTGCTAAAGGGTGACTATAATAACGGCTTCCAAAGTAAACTGAATTTTGTTTAATCTGTTCTTTACTAATGTGAATAGCTGAGTGTTTGAGAAATTTGAAGAAAAGCATAAAGTAGAGGCGTGCCCAACGAGATTGGCCCTGGTTGAATTTTAACCCTTTAAGAAGTTTATCAGTTTAAATCACCTACTGGCCAATAGTTTAACTTTCACATGATGGTCTCATTTGTTCTTAGGGGAGATCTCTGGTATCCCCATAAAAACCCCTCGAGTGTTAACAACCAAGTTGCTCTTGTTTTGGCTAATCATAGACTGCTTGTAAGCGTGCATGTTATATTACTTTCTGTCTGGGGGCTGGGAATGGTTGTAAGTTCTTTCAAGCTTCGTGTGGATTTAAAGACAGTTTCCAAGATCATTCAAGAGAGGATCTCCATTAATGGATGGTTGGAGGCTGGTGTAAGAGATTCGAGTTATTTTGTATTTTCAGGACTGCCCTTTTGTTTACACACAAATAAGACAAACGGGTCAATTATATATTTTTTTCAATTACAATAATCTAATTACTTGTAAGATGTTTGGTTCAAAATTCAATTTATAAACTTTACAAATACTGATAGAAACTTTGATTTGTTAGCTAAATTGTCACTAACAGTAGTTTATTTTCCCAATAATCACAAAGCCAAAAAAATTAGGGAATTGCTTATCCCATCCTAACCGGTGGAAAAGCACCTTATGAAAAATTCTAAAATATCTATCATTAGTCTAATCAAATTATGCTCCACTTGAGTCTTACTCCTTTTTTTTTTTACAAAATTTATTTAAGAGACATATTTTCAGAACCACTCCATGTACACCCCATGCATTCCTCATTGAAACGCCCGCTTTTGACTTAAATTGATTCAGATATACATCACACTAGATAGAATTCAGAGATGTATTTCCGTATTTTCACTACAGTAATTTTGGACATTGTTTTAGAGATGCACCGATGAAATTGAAAATGTATTATAACTATACTATCATATTCAATTTTATATAAAGCAATCCACTCGATTTCCTAATAATATAAAAATGACGTATAAACTAACAAATCCAAAGTACACAGTGAAGTCAATATAAAATACAACTGATAATAGTACTCCTAATACAACTATTATATACTACTGCATATGACAGACTCAGACCCCTCTGTTACTACGTTGCCTCTTGTACTGCAGTGTCTCTCGTGCCTACCCCATGATGACATTTAGAATGTCCATTGCCTCAGAACCTACCTGAAAGACTCCTCTGTCTATATCGACCTGTATCATATCTACGATACGTCGATATCTAAACAACACATCAATAACATGATCTTTCCTAACATGCTTCTCATCTAGTATCTGTGGATGAATTGACCTAGTTGGATCTCCCAAAGCATCTGATGTCATATAAAGATGTGACACTCTGAAATCCCATTGGATTGAATGTAGTCGTGTGTGGCACTTTAGTTGCTATGAGCTATGATACTCTGTGTCTCATCGGTACCAAATGATTAAGGTAATAATCAAACATGGCATTTACATCTCTCTGTGCCCTAGCGGGAAGAGAAGAATTAGAGGGGTCTCTGAGAACAAATTCCATGTAGCAGAAATGTCGTGTGACGCGCTTAGGCAGATAAGGATACATCAGACATGAACCACAAGCCAACCATCTAGATTAAAATGATATGTTGTCTACAGGACATGTCTCACGGTGATCGACGTACGTATGGAAATGTATATCCATTGCTACCAAGGGGTCAAGATACACTTTGTATGGCTCAATATGATTCCCTCTAAGCGGGATAAATGCAAAAGCATGTGGCATATATTTAGCGTAGGTTGAAGCAAATGACTAGCCAGATACGTGTGGAAAGTTCTAGAGGGTTCAAGCCTGAAAGTGGTACATATGAATAATTAGTAACGGCATAGCAAAAGTGTTACGAAAAGAACACACAAACACTAAAAGATGCAAAATATTTATGTCAACAGTGTGATGATGGATGTCATCTGTTTGGTCTTCCACCTACAACCTTAAGCTAACTTGGAGTACAGGTAGACCTTAACCTGCTCTGCATCATGCAACTTCTCTGCATACAACCTCTCCAAGAATAGAAACCTAGCATGAGCCCCTCAGGTGACCTCTAACTCCTACGGGGCATCCTCTGGGTCAGCTCCCAAATAGTCTACCGTCATATTTTATGTGTCATCTTTGTTAATCTTGATGTGGTCTAACAGTCCCCCCTGATTGGAAGATACAACAGGCATGAGAAATCGTCCAGTTTGATAGACATCTCACCATGTGAAAGATGAAGTCTTCGAGTGCCATCTCTCTAAAAATACAAACAACATAACATAGTTAATTGTAACATAATCAATCCTACACAAGTATTTCAGCCCAGATAACTGCATCACATCCTAAAACCACTGCTCATCAGGCTTCAATATACCAGTAATCTTCCGGCCATCGTTGATACATTTTAAAGCATCATAGTCCCGTAGAAAAATAAATCATCGACATAAACATCGAATATTATAACAAACATGTTTTTTCAAAGAATGAATACAATTGAATTTTACCTCTTCATTTCAGACATGCTTGGAAGTATGGTTTGGGTATAGAGGCAACATCGAGAACTCAGATGAGCCTCCTCCAAACCCCTATGGTGCCTTGGGAGCCTACAGTGCCTCTGGTGCCTTAGCAGGTGATACATGCGTCCTACGGGAAGACAAAGGTGGAGTTGCATGATCCCTAGAAGTTTATGCATATTCATCAATCGGGTTAGAAACGACAGATGCCTATGAAGATTGAGCTTTTTCCCTCTGAGTCGATTCATGTTGTGCAACTATCTTGTGCCTCAATCTATCTTACTTATCAGCCATAATGCCTAAGTAAGCCACACAAGCATTACACGGATAAAATATAACGAGGTCAAGCCAAATAATACAGACTGATAAATTCTGGAGATGCGTCTTTGGATTTTGGAAATCTGAATGTTGAAAATTTTCAGAGATTCATCTTCGTAATGCTCTACAACTCAGATGAACAACAATGGAAGAAAAAGATTCCACTCTAACATCCAAAATTTGATCATTTTAACTTCCTAGCAAACACATTACTCATCTAAGTAGAATATATATATACGACCTATAATTTAACATAATGCTCAATTTCTACAAATGTACATTGAAATCAAAAAACTATATAGAAGTAATTTTTTTTACCAAATGTGAGCTTGATGTTGAGCTATTTGATGGCTTGGATTTTTATGGAGGAAACTTGGAAGTGTGTTGTATGAGCTTGACATATTGTAACATAAGAAATTTTGAGAGTTAGGAGATTTTGATAATGTCGAGAGTTTGGAGAGTTTGAGAGTATTTTGAGAAGTGAGGAAGGAGAAGAGACTCTAGTGCATTTTTTATTAGAAGAATGCCCGGAGATTCATCTCCGTAAATTACACGGAGATGTATTTCCATATTTTTTTTGAAATAGCCCTATAAACTGATTCAAAAATGAATGTGATTGGGGTGCATTCAAAGATGCATTTTCAGATTCTAGACGTAATTTTAGTTTTTCACTAGAGTAGGGAAGTAATGCTTAGGATACCTTAAGCAATTCTCACCGATTATTAAATGGAGGCCCAAAACGACCAACTAATCACAAAGAAAATGGGTGATAAAGACACATAACACACTAGAAAGTTATTTTTCAATTTCAATAATTTATCTACTTGTATGATGTTAATTCAAAACTCAATTTATAAAGTTTACAAATATTGATATAAACTCTTTTTTTTTTGTAAGCAAGATGTATTGAAAAGAGTATTAGGGGTACTCTAACCCGATTACAAAAATGAGAGAATACTCGAGGGAGGGAAAGATTTCTATCGAAATGCAACTTAAGCTAAATAAAGCAAAAGGGCTTTGCTAAATTTATAAAAATCACAATTGGCAAAAAAAATTCTCCTATAAAGGACCACTTCCAAACCAAAACTTTGATGCACCAAAAAATGTTTGACACACTACTTCTGGCATTGTTAAACACAACGACCTTCCTAGCCTTCCACAAAGACCATGTAACCGCCAACCATACCACATTTTCTTTACCAATTTTCATCTTCACGAATTTGAAAAAGTCATTCCAATCTAAGAAACTATCATAAACATCTTCATGATTCAAGGTTGGCTTCCCCACCCAATCCGCAATAATGATTCACACTAATTTGGAAACAAAACAAGACAACAGAAAATGGACTAAATTCTCGTTCACTTCAGAGCAAAAAACACAATTGAGATTGGAAGGAGAAACTTTGATTTGAAAGCTAAAAAATTACTAGCAGTAGTGTTTTTACCACAAAAAAAAATTACACGGAGGTAAAAAAAAGACATTACAAGCTAACTTAGTGAACAAGTTAACTTAAATAATTGGGTATAACAAACAGGCTCAATTCGACATGCTAGCAATCCTAGCATTTCGACTACTTCATAGTTGAACATACTTCGACTACAGCATCGCAGGTCTTCGACTTCAACATATGAACCAACTTTAACCTCATGCTTAGATCCTGTCGAACTGTTAAACCAAGAAGCTACCCTTTCGATCATACTAGAGTTCAATCCAATATCTAACAACCTTTTTGGCCCATCTAGAACTGCAAGTCTTGGTGGAAACGTCTTGTACCTGCAAGGCACTCCGACGATCTAGCGAGAAAGAGTGCAAAGAGATACAAGTAAGAGATTAGGGTTTTTAGAATGGATATTGGATACCTGGAGTTCTGTGATACGGTGGCAGAACCAACTGTTAATACTGGTTTGCATTTTGTATTCGCAAATGT